AACAGGAGGCCAGGAACTTGTGCAGGTTGTCACTGAGGATGCAGGCTTGATCCAAGAGCTTATTTATGGCACACAGAACGGATCCGGCTGTGCTGTCGGGTATGACCACCAGTCCGACCTGTTCAAAAACAACACAAAACCCAGGTGCATGGCTTGACAGACAGGCTGGCGTGCAAGCGTCTGGAGAGCTGAATGAACCTCTTCCACATCGTGACACGATTCCTTTCCTTCTGTTCAAGTTCTACGCACTACTGCCCCCTCTCTTCCTAAGGGACCGCCACCCGTACCAATGGAAAGTTGTGAACTAGTGTCTTCATCCCATCCCCTCTGAATAAACGCTCATCTCAAAGGCATTTTCAAAGCCCCACCACTTTCAGCTTCCCTCTGGAAGATGCTACAGGCACAAAGTCTTCCGGACAGAACAGGCCTCTCCTTCCAAGCCCACCTCCTGGGACAGAACAGCCCTCCCCTGTCTCCCAGTGGCAGTCTGCAGCCGCCGGAGTGGAAGGAAACTTGGATTTACCCTCCAGAAGGAAAAGCTTCTCTCCTGAATCGGCATCAGTGTGAGTCTCCTCAGAAATCCAACAGGAGTGACGGCCTTACGAGCCGAGTTCAATTACAGCTAATGAAACACACGCTGGGCCCACAGCGGGGTGATGCTATTCTGCTGTTAAAGCCAGAACATCACCTTGCGTAGGGATCTTACAGCCACGATAAATAATGGAGAAAAAAGTCCTTTGGGCAGAGGCAGCCTGTTGGGAAGCAGGTTGAATTTTGAGGTGCTACTGAGTAACTATAAATCTGCGCATCGCTAACGTCGCACCATTTATCTTGTCAAAAAACTGATTTAAGGAGTTTTAGAGTGGCCTGGTTTGTTCAGCTGCCGGTACGTTGTTTCAGCTGAGAGAGGCAGCTGGATCACCAAGCCACGTCAGCTGTTTCCTTACGTTTGGGAAAAGATCAGTAAAGTACGAGCTACAGAAAGGTGGAATGGATTCCACGGGTACAATTCCTCATGAGAAGCAGAAGATAAAAAACAGTGATGGGGTCAAACTTTTAAACACTTCCAGTATGAGACCCCAGACACCAGGTGTTATTTAAAGGCCATGAGCACAGAGTGCTGTCCCAGCCTGACCCTGTGCCAGCCAGCTGCAGGGGCAGAAGGATGGGGTTCCTACGCACCAAGAGATGGACCGCAACTGTCACCACGGCCCTGCTGAATGCTACAGCACGTGGGGGCACTGAACAGAATCAGAGCAGTTGGGGTCGGAAGGGACCTTAAAGACCATCTAGTTCCAACCCCCCTGCCATGGGCAGGGACACCTTCCACTAGACCAGGTTGCTCAAAGCCTCATCCAGCCTGGCCTTGAACACTTCCAGGGATGGGGCATCCACAGCTTCTCTGGGCAACCTGTTCCAGTGCCTCACCACCCTCTCCAGGAAGAATTTCTTCCTGATACCTAATCTAAACCTCCCCACTTTCAATTTAAACCTGTTATCTCTTGTCCTGTCACTACGTAAATAAACAGTAAGAAGAAATCACAATGTTCTACCACAAAGAGGAGATAAGGGCAG